TGTTAGTTGGATGGAAGCAACCAGTAGGAAGTCCTAGACCTAGGTTTTATGCTTTCTGGCAAGGCGTTCATCCGCAGTCTCGACGGAACTGATGTCCTATCTGAGAGTCGAATCTACATCACTCAATGTAACGCGATTCTAAGCCATCTAGTTTGCCAGACACATTGCAAAATGATCGACAGAATTCGATCAGCACTTCTTACTGGATAACATGAAGTTGTTTACCCACCAGTGAACAATCAATGTAAGTAGAATACAGATATTAAGCATCTATCACCTTGTAAGTCATTTTTCATAACATGCAGAGATTTGTCCAAAATCTCTCTTCATGGTCTGATTAGTTGTCCTTTGAAACCACCCTTTGTTTTATTACTTTCATTTTCTTATATAGTACTTTGTCTCGCCTGTTACTATAGTATTTTCATAACAATTCATTCTTCAGGTATTTTGTCAGGCTGAGTAACTCACTATCATATTTATGAAAGCTCGTCTTGTTTGTAACAAAAATTTGTTATTGTCAACGTTAGAAACCTCAAATGCGTTTGTAAGTCTTGTCAACTTTAAATACTCCTTCTCGAAATATTCAACATTTCTGTACAGCAGCAAACACTGCAAGAATAGTGAATTTTTCAGTTTTCTTTGTCATTTTCTGACGAGTATACAATATTTAAGATAGCGAAATGTTTTGTTAAATCTGTTGACTACTCATAAGTAGCAAAACAAGGAATTAAAAATTTAGGCAACAAAATACAGAAATGAACGCTAAATGCTTTTAAAGAAAACAACAGTCGAAAGGATAGTCTACACGGAAATGAATATTTCACATAAATTATTGTACTTATGAATAACTTATGTCTGGTTGAGAAGAAAAATGCTATTAATCCATAGTTATTTTTACCGAAATTCTCGTGATTTCTTTATCACAATCACACTCATTGTTATGAAATATGACGCGAAAAGTGATCTTATTTTAGAGGTCATTAGATAAATGTTTGATTAAAATTATTATGAAACACAAATAATGTCTACTAATTCGGGTTTTTTTTATGTAATTCGATGGAACATGGAAAATTGTCATCTAAATGTAACGGACGTTATGTGAAGATAAATTTTGGCGACTAAACTCACTTAACCGCTCAGAACATATGAAAGTATATATTTATTTATTCTGTACGGTTAAGTAAACCTGATAGCCAAAATTTTAGGACAATGTGAAAAGCTACACAAGAATTAGCAGAAATTACATTTCATCATTTCGGAGAATGTAGCATAAACTACATCGCAGTTACCGAAAGCTGTAAAGTGCTGATTATCTGATTGATTCCGGTTTGAGACTAATCAGTAGTACATAGAGACGATCAGTGACATTGGATAATCATTAAACTGTACCATAAAATGTAAAAAATGATCCATTGGATCTCAACCAAGACATGGTGGTGTTGGATTTGATACTATACAGAGTTGAAAGTGCACCATATTGAGGTCTTAAGCAGGATTAAACATTTTTCGCATACTCCTTGGCTTTCAAATGATTCCTCTTCAGATCTTGACCAGTGTTGAACCACATAGAACCAAATACTTACTGACAAACCGCTCTTAGATGAATAAATCTTAACTATTTCTGAAAGTATTAATGGCATTCATTTTTCTTGAGATTTGACTTCAACGCCTAACATGATATTAATGAGAAGAAATAAATAAAAACAAGGTTTTCCTACCAGTTTCTTCAAAACATTTCATATTTTAAAAAGCTTTCAAGAAACACTGTCGGGAGAGGTGGCAACTCTAAGACATAACACATCTTAAAGGGTCGACTTCTGTCTACGAATTACATTTCCTTAGATCTTTCACCACATGTAAATGGGAATATGTTTTATTACATACGTCAACGTAGAACATCCGAAGATATAAAAATATCTTCGAATGTTTAATATAATGCACGTTTTAATTTGGTCACTAAATCATTGAAAAAAACTATGATACACTGACTCCTATTTCTCAGTTTCACTTTTACTAAACAGTGTACACAAAAACCATCTAATGTCTGAATTTATAATCAAAATGGATCCACCTTTATGTATATAACTTTCCGAATTTTTACTGAAAATAAGTCGGTTCGAAGTTAATGACTCTTACATAAACATATATTAGGCACTCTCTTGCATTGTCGTTTGACAATTTTATTCATTCGTTAGACAGGAACATATTTAATCCTGCAATTCACATTTCATCAAGAACACTATAACCACTTTTGATCAAGATATTTTCACTGATATTTATCAAAGAAAACTCTCTTGATGATTTACTCTGATATGAATAGAAGTCATGATTTTGTCAACAATGAAGTGAGATCCTAGAACATAGCAATGTTCCCGACAACCTACTCTTGCAAACATATCAGTACAGTTTAAACTGTGATATGTGGTCCACGACAGAAGCAACAATTTAGAATCTGAGACAGCGTAATTCAACACATTTCTGTTACGCACGAAAAAAATAATTGTACAAACAAAAATATGTAGTATCCCCCCAGATACTACTCCTAGAAGACATTGTAAAATAAAATAATGAACCGAATTCAATGCATAACTTGCTCGGATTAGTTGCAGATTTTGAATCATAATATTCGGTCTTTCATGACACGTGACTCGAGGTGATAAAGTGCTGCCCAGTAAGCATTTGGAAAACGCTGAATCCGTAAGTCCCTTACAATACACCTGGCTATCAGAAACATATGGTTGGGGTAGCATGTTGCGGTGTTGATGATTCCAGTTTATTGCATAACATAATACCTATTCAATCAAAAACAACTACTCCTGGACAAACTCGGTTCAAAATGGATACAAGATCTCATGTTGTCAATTATAAAATTGAGGCTTGCTTGCAATCAGAATCAAATGTGTATGACTATACTACCTGTTTAAATGAGTTAATCCATGCTCTAGAGGATATGTCAACAAACTCCGTGCAACTTAAATAAGAGTCATTTGAAAAACCATCAGATGACAGAGGAACCCTAGCATAGTATCCACGTTGATCATGTACATATGCGATTGATGTTTATAGCCATTTCAGTTGTCTACCTAACCCTCAGTGAAACTAATTCAAATTTGATTAGCCTTTTCAATATTGGAAATATCATGGCAATGATTTAATGCAGACAACTGGTTGATACGATCTTTGAGCATTTTTGTAAAATCAGTACCGAACAACATTGAAATTCGACATCTACATATATGGGAGATGATTTCGTAAATACTTATCAGTCTATTTTTCTGAAGCTAGGAGAAGGTTCATCAAATACCCTTCTCCAAAGCGTCAGCAAACTATTCCTCTCATTTCAAGCTTGAATTTAGTTACTTTTCAGACTACACCACAATACAGATCACCAAAAAATAAATTTTCATTATCTAGTGGGAGGTTACCAATCAGTGAAGAGACATGACTGTACTGTCCATCTCTAATTCAAGGAGGTGTTATAGTGCGGAATAAGATTACCATGACCTGCATAAAAGCGCTTAATCTTTCAAGCCTGTTACAACTAATCATGTTTCATCGAAGTTTTGAGAGGAAGCGCATGAACCAACGTGTAAATCTCAGACTAGTTGAATGGAACGAAGTCAAGAGAACACTCAAATCTAGGAAGGCCTGGACATGGCCAAGGTCATTGTAAATACACATCAACCAGCACACCTGTTATCCTGTTTTTACCAAAAAACTGAGCGACCAACAAGAGGTGGAATCCGAAAATTGTACAAGAGTTCACCGATGTATTACTGAGGTTATATCAAGTAGTCGATAGAGGAATATAACAAGTGGAGACTGAGGGTTATAAAATAGTCACATAACTGATTACAGTATCCTACACCTAATAAGTGAACTACCTATTTTTAATGGCCAAAACCCGAGTGAATAAAATATTTAATTATGAAGTATGCGACTAGCTTTATTTCTCAAGGTACAGAAAGAAATTTGTCGGTCACTTGAAATAGGTGTTACGTAGTGACAAAATGCAGCCAATAGGGGAGTTGTTTTCAAGTCATGATCAGATCATGTTCAGGTCGTGATTTATGCTTGTGCTGACATGAGAACCTGATTGGAGAAGTTCGACCTAATACAAGAAATCTCATTTGTTCATTTATGGCTTCACTTTCTGAGAGTTTTGTAAATACATGTATTTGCCTAATAAAAGTTGTCGCTGTTTTTGCAGTCACAGGCCGTCTTTGTCTTCTGATTTTTCCACGGCTCAGTGAAGCAGAAGGTACTGAGGGAAGTCAGTCGTAAAGGTAATCGGTTGAGGTGTCTATTGAGTCCCAGTATCATTATACCCATGCGCGCAACTCCACCATTCGGTCACAACAATAGGCACTTGAAATATCATCCAAATGTACTGAATTTAATTCTGTGACCTCCTTTCGCTAACAGAATTAACGAAGCAGTCTAAATGCCAGGTTGAATTTGGGTTATTACTCTGTATCGTCTGTGTGTGACTTAAAAATCGTAATACTAGTAATGCTTATTACAGAATTATCCAATATACACAATCCCTAAAATGCTTAAATTGTAGTCGGAAGACGTAGAAAAGTATGTTACGAAGTGGCAGACCTAAAATAATACTGATGAGAATATGCTTTATTATAACTAGTGAGAAAATAACAAACAATAATATTTAATCAATCTTATACATATTTTTGGCTAACAATAATCCTGGGTAACCGTAAATATCCCATTTACTTAAAGACATAAAATCTATAGATAAAATACTGAATTCTTCCCAAGGAGACAAAATAGCAAAAATTAATTTCAAGCAATAAAATGAAATGAAAAAAAAAATCTGTACAACACAAAATAACAGGGAGAAAAGAATTGAAAAGCAAAAAACTGCACTACAATATTATTCCTCCGAGATCTCTGTACAATGGTCTTTATACATACAGAAATAACAGTGAATAATAATAGTAATAGAAAACTGAATGAACTAAAATCGCTTATAAACCTAGTTATCGTAAATCTTGATCACTTTTATACTGATCATTTTGTCTTACTGAAAGTTGTACAAATCCAAGATCATTGGGTTCATCAGATTTACAAGTAACAGATTTAGGAGTTTTAAGACGTCCAAATTGTTTTAATGGCCAAACACGTAGTAAAACTTTATATTCTAAACGAGATACAGGAACAGGTCCATACGATCTTGAATCTAGTGAACGTAATGCATTATCACCTTCAAGCCAAACATGACCAAGAGGTACCTATGAAATATAAAAATGTAAAAAAAAAAAACACCTTAACATATTGTCAAAAAATATTTCAGACGTAAAATTCAAATACGAATCAACTTATGAGCATATGCACAAGATCAGCAGCATCTGTTTGTATTGTACACAACTTTCAAAAGGCAGACAGAGAATCTAACCCGAAAGACAAAACTATTGACAAGAATAACACACTTTTAGCATGGTATGAATGTCACGACAAAATACAATAATAACATATGTAAATATAAAGTAAACAATGGGTTTTGAGGTAGTTAGGGATTTCTAGTTTTTTGAACTACTATTGGTCATGGAATGACATTAACTGGAGAGCCATTGAAAACCTCGGAGCACTGGACAGTTGTTTCATTCTAGTATGGGACCCCTCAGCACTGTGCAACCACGATCATGCCACTGACCGAACTTGAGACCTTTAAGTTTCCTGGCGAACGCGCTAATCATCCAGCCACTGGGTCGGAGTTCAGTGGGGTTACAGTGTCCGACTTCTGTCATTACTGTATACTCCTTGTTAGGGACATGCTTCTAGATGGATATCCTGAAGTTTTAGTGACCTATGGAGTCAACCAGTTGGAAAGAAAGAGGATGCCAACTAAATACCTTCGGTGATAGCTGCGCTATATCGCGAATTGACAGGATTTGGACACTGATAAGCATAGAACTCCAATCCAGTGACTGAATAGTTAAGGCGTTTGTAGTGGAACCTGAAAGCACTGAGTTCGATCCCTAGCAGGGTCGTGGGTGCATATTGCCAAGTCCCACACTAGGACGAAACAGCTGTCCACTGCTCCAAGGTTTCCAGCGGTTTTCCAACTGGTGTTAGTCCGAGATGAAGATGACCTCAAAAAATAAACACATAGTAGGAAGTTCATAGAGTTTTGACACACTACTCTAATGGAATCGATTCAAATCTACATCCTCCGTTTGTTCCGATCTCAAACTAGTGCTATGTCCAATGAGCAAAAACATATAATAAACGAACTATGGTATACTCCTTTGAAACCATCACAAAGAGGCTTATTACTGCTAGTTTCCTGTGTCAACTAAAGCAGGGAAGCGCAAATGCCCGTACTAATGCATGATCACGGCCTACCTATCTACTTCAGCAATGTCTCATAGTGATATGATTCACCTCTGATTACATGATATCGGCAAACATCAAGTAAGGGAATGTCTTTAATTGTGTTTCGATTTTAGGGTAGCATTCATTCCGAACCGAAATCATTTAGAAAACTACTGAAAACTTAGTAGCACTATACAGCACGCACCCACCGGGGGTCTAACCCAGGGCTGTTATACCTCACGGTGAAACTGACAACCCTCAACTACTGGGTCGGAATCCAACAATCCACCTCTTCATGCTTCTATCAATTCAGGATAGTATGGCTTTTATTCAATGCCATCAGAGATTTATTTTCTCACACCCAACTACGTTGACCATAAAGGTGACGGCTTTTAGCTAGAACTTCAAGAAACCCATCTCGAAGCACATCACTAATGGGCAATACACAGTAATTCAGTTTCGAGGTTTGTAGGAATTGATTGATTTCATGGTATTCATCAGGAGCTGACATCAATTGAAGAACGACTGAAAACCTGGGACCATTCGACACAAGTTTCGGCCTAGTGCGGGACCCACATGTAAGGATTCATCTCATCTTGATACAGCCTCAGAGTATAGGAATAATGAAGTGCTAAAAGATTATTCTACAAGGAATGTCTATGGGGAAATGATGAGTCACAGCTACACATTTAGTGGTCACTACATAGTCAACGTATTCACAAGGATAAGAATTTACTTACTACACATCAGTAGAACAAAACTTTAGTGAAAGCCCATCACATTAATGTATGAACCAATAAGTCAGAATCGAGTATTTTATTGAAAATTTATAAATGCTTCACATGAGAAATGAAAACATCTAGACTTTCAGTAGTTTTATTATCTTTCAAACTATACCACTATCTGTATCCCCACTCACCTACAGAAAATCATTTCACACCCCCTCGTGATCTTGATAATTAACAGGACGTTTACAAAGGTCTTAGGAACTTTGGAAGACGATTTCTCATTTTAAGCGTTGCTTGTGTGCAAACCGGCTGACAAATCAATGAACCTCTTTTTGGTACCAATAACTAAATGGGAGTAACTCATTTCAGATAATAATGTGTACGACATCCAAGCATTTGTGGATAGTACAGTGCCCAATTCTATCCTGTTTTCTACAAATGGTAAGATAACTGCTTTTGGCCTATCCTTTACCCAGTAAGAATATCGTCTCTTCACACTTTGATCGTTAATATCAGGAATTTGTGATCTAGACTACACCTGTTAAGACATTTGCATATAACCTACTCAGCCATGTCTAAGTCATCTTCCTCAGTTATATTTACCTTTGGTACGTTATGTACGCAACCCATTACAACACCACATTAACAGCTTAGATTGCTCACAAGCAATCCAAATCTCTACAAATAGCCGATAATGTAATCTTCATCCTAATTTACCAACACCTTATGCAGCGTCAACAACATGGTGAACGGACATAAATGAATCCGTCATCTGCAGCCTGACTGATCGTCCTTACGGTTTCCTGTCGGTTTCCTACTAGTTATGCCAACACAATTCAAACGAAATAGTCGAGAGAGTTCTCACAGCATTTAGAGATTTAGGAACTCCATATTACAATATAGTTACTTAACACTGGTCCCAAAGGCCACGTTAGTCACACATACCCAGTTTTTCTGCATACGGATGACATGAAATCCCCGATAAGTAGGAAAATAATTACCTCTTTTACAATAATTTCCCATCGGCTGTTATCCCAAAAGGTGATTCGATCATCCTCCAAACCCTTTACTCTTTTCAAAACGTGTGAAGTATTGTGCTTTCGCGGTTGACCAGCAATTACAACATCACCCTACAAGTTTCATGAATTTCAAGCAACGCCTACCTTTTAATATATCCGGAAATGATTGACAACCTCTCTACAATTAGATAATCTCCTTCATTCACCGTCGGTTGCATACTAACACCTTCGCACTTAGTATAAGTTTGTAGTGAGTTTAAAACCTACATAAACTACTGTGCCGAAGAGCGAATGATAATTGTATATTGTTGCACCAGCGGTAAGAAATATGATGCTCCGGGTAAAACGACTTGATACCTTCCTGAACATCATAGCAAAAGTGCGACCACTCAACCTTGAGAAATTAAATCCAAACATAGATACAAGGACATAATCCAATATCTGTTTGACGAGATTGTGTAAACCAGTTGATTTCCTCTTGCTCGCTTAACGGTTTTGCGGAACAGTTCCAGGTCTTTGGCGTATTCCGATGCATTAGATCCAGCCACTCCTCTGCTATAGCTCTGGTATACAGAACAGAGGGTTGAGTGTTAGTTAGTCTGTCTTGGACTGTGGTGCAAATAGGTTCTCCAGATGTTGAGTCGCCAAACAGTTATTCGGACTGATCGCTAGAGGTGGTTAGAGATAGTGAATGGGTAATGTAGAAAGGCTAATGTATGTGGTTAAAAGGCAAAGAAAAGTGAACTAATGGAGTAATCTACTTACACCCAAGTAAGCCAAGGGGGGTGCAAAGATATGAAGAACTTAGGTAGGTAAAGCTAGGGTTCGAATGATTACAGTAGAACAAAAACTGGTGTGCATGTGACATAGTTGGAGTGGTATGACAGCAGTGGATTTCTTCAGTTCAGTTAGTATTCTAACCACGTGTGGGTAGACTATGGGTCTCTGCGAGACTGTGTGATCCTTTCTTGAAACTTTCAGCAGAACGAGCGGAGACTCCCTCTGCTGACAATGCATTCCAATGCCTGAAGACTGGGATGGGGGAAGTGTGAAAGCACACGAGTTTTTGACCTTTAGTGGGCAGTCCTGTTAGGGTTTTTCACGAGGATCACCACAGTGACCACTGGGTAGTATTCCTCCGTCCGGGCGACTTGGGTTGTTCAGTATTTTGTAGGCCGCTGTCAAGTCACCTAGTAACCCTCAGTACCTAGGAGAGTATGGGCCAACGTCATTCAGTCCATCTTCATATGGTTCCTGTTGCATCCCAACAATCTCCTTCGTGGCTCGCCTCAGGTTCCTGCCACTTTTCAGTCGCGGTGGAGCGAAGACATTATGGACCTGCAGGCTGGGTCCTACGTAAGTCTTACAGAGATTCAAAAAGAGCTCTGGGGCGAAGGCACTTACTTGTCTGTTCACGAAGTATGGCACACCGTATGCTTTTGTTCTAGGGCCTAGGTGATCGGAACTGGTGTCCATTTTCTCAGTCACCACTAAACCCAGGTCCTTTTCTGCCGCGGCAGGGGATAGATTTGAACCACAGAGAGAGTAGCATACTTTCTGTAGGTCAGAGGTGCGAAAAAACATGGACCGGCATTTACCCGGGTTAAAGGTCAGTTCGTTACTTTTTGCCCATTCCTCTGGTGTTTTGGGGTCGTACTTCAGTGTGCTCGATTCCGTTTCGCTAGTTGCTGTCCTCCATAACTTAACGTCATCACCGTAGAAGTGAATCGGAGGGCTGATATGTAGCAGGAGGTCAGTCACCAACAGTGGGAACGACAGTGGACTCAGGATTGCTCCTTATGAGACACCGGACGATGATGTCCTCCAAGTTGAGTAGGACCTATTGACCTTCGTACAGAACTCCCTGTTGTCTGAGTAGTTCTGCAGCCACGATAGCACCTGGCCGCGGATGCCCAACCTAGCTTTTTTGTGTATTGGGATGGTGTGCGAGACAGCGTCAAAGGCTTCGGCGAAGTCCAGAAAAATCGCCTGGACCGGGACCTCGAGATCCCAGCACGGCGTTCAGTGATCATGAGACATCACAAGGTTGGAGGCAGCGGACCTGCCCTTTCGAAAGCCATGTTGAACGTCACTGAGTGTTCGTTTTGCTTTCAGATGTTCCTCGATGCGGTCGTCTATCACACCTCCCATAACTTTGGATATTACTGGGTCTATAGCAGACTGGATTCCGTCTGTCTCCTCTTTTGAAGATCGGGAGAGGATGGCCCGTTTCCACTCTCGCGGAGATTTTCGGTCGTCTGAGGAGTGTTGGAAGAGACTGCAGAGCGGGCCACTTGGGGCACTCGCACATTTTTACAGCACAGATGTGTGAATGTCGTCGGATCCCGGGATTTTCCTGCACTACACTTTGATAGCCTACCAAGAACAACGGCACAAGTTATCTGTGCTTCGTGTAGCTATGCTGGGTCGGATACCATTTGGGGCTCTTCGGGCAGCAGGTATGCGTGCTTTCCTGACAATACCTTGAGCTGTGTATCAAACGTGGTGCTCAACATCTCGCGTTCTCCCGTCCAAAGAGGTTCTCTTCGTTCGGACCTCAAATGACGCATGCTCCTAGGCTTGTCGATTTCCCCTTTGTCATTAATCGGTGCAGACTTTTGGAGTCTACTTCAAGCTTCTTGGTGAGGCTGGACTGGGAAGACCTCCTATCTCCGCGTGCCCTAGCGTTGCATTCACTTCCCATAGCTATGCATGCGTCATGTAGTCCTATCCTCTGGAGAGCCTCCATTTACGTCATGCCTTTCTCTTGGCTTTTAGGGGTCACTCAGCGCCTCGGTTTAGCTATGAGGTCCACCTTCTGGGTGCTGTTGCCACCATGTGGACTTTTTGTGAAATTGCAGCCCTAACGACGTCTCTTAAAAGTTGCCGGTGTTGCTCAACTAGTGAGGAGCGCCAATCCACTGGCCATGGAGCTTCCGAAAGGCATTGCTTCATTCCGTCGTAGTTTGCCCTCTTGTGACGGAGGTAAGGGCGAGATCCCTCCCACTATAGTTCTTCACCAGTTTGAACGCTACCATACCATCTTCCCCCCCCCTTCCAAGGGGAGTTTGGGACTGAACGTTTTCGACTAGAAGATGGCCACTGGTCAGTAGGTAATCCAGTTAAGATGATTTACCATCTGACCCCCAGCGGGCGCTGCTAATTTTTCTTAAAGTCCAGCCATTTAGATAGCACCTAGCAGGTCGCAATCTAACTGCCAGCCCGGAGTCTTGCTGCCTTCTCCGGAGGGAGAGTTCGAGCACCGAAGTCGACAGCCATTAGGATCTGGTCATACCCCAAAGTCGACACTGCGGATATCATTTAGAGTAATTTTCGGCTATGTTCAACGTTGCTATAAGGTGACCTAAAGACTCCTCCAACTGGGTACTCAGTGTATTTGAACTTGAAGCTGCACCAAACTGAGTCCTAGAGCTTTGGCAATACAGTGTCAGTAGTTTTTTCACTTCTGGACCAAATGTTCACGCATACTGCAACCCCCCTCCGTCCTTGTGTTCCCTGTCCCTCCTGGACAAAAACATGTCATCTATGTTAACTGAGGTGTCACTGATGTCCGGCGACAACCATACTCCCGTCAGAATTGCAATTTTCAGGACAAGGTCGGAACAGAAGAATCCGAGCCCTGACATTTTACTTTGAAGTCCTTCCACTTTGCTGTAAAGCAGTTTGAGGGTGTTCCTCGTAACGTGGGATGTCTCCGGGTTAACCAGTGGCACAGGTTTGGTGGTGGCGGTTTTTACTGGCTGGCCGGTTCCGTTGGCCCAGTTAAGTTTTGCCCTTGCCGACTGGTGCAATCGGTGCTAGGTGGAGGATCCCGGCCTGACTCCCAACTTGTCGGTGTAGAGTGTTGGCGGCCTGAGCACAGGGAGTAATTACTGTCCGTTGTTGCCACTGTCTGTCTCTGTCTGCTTTCACAACAGCGAACATTCCCGCCTGTGGTGCTCCTGACTTGATACCGCGTCTCTGGCATTCTGGTAGGAAATGGGAATTTGAAGTTGGTGGCCACTGGTCTAGGTGAAACCATGATTGTTAGATAGTAGTCGGCCGACTGCCACTGCGGCAACCCCTCTTAGCTCCATCCGAGTTGACTACCGCTACCATCGTTGGAAGCCACGGGTGTACTTACCACGTTGGGTACCGGTCGCCAGTTCAGGTATTCCAAGCATGACCACGGTTGTGGGTTTTCATGGATCACCCGCTCATCGTGATGTATGTCTTGATACCCGCGGTCGGTCAGGTCCAGTTCTGATGCTGGACGACCCGTTGATAACCACGGCGTGTGACAGTAAGGGGAACTTTCGGCGTCTCGAGCTGGTCCTAGAGTCACCCTCATCGGTGGAGGTTTCCCAGAGGGTGAATGAGTGCGTCTGCACAGTTGACACAGTTTTGCCTCGACGGCGCCCAAATCCAGCAGGCCGCAAAGGGAGTTCGACTGCTGCCTGATCCAGGAGGCTAACATTGCAGAAGGGGAACGTTTAAAAGAACGAAAGGGTTAGATTGGTCGGCGTTGCCCATATTATCCCATCCCTTTGGGGAATTTTCATGGATAGTTCGAGCTGGTTTCTCTGCCATAACCAATCCGTTATGCTGTCAACTGCTTGCTATCACTGATGTTGATGAAGTACTTTAGGTGCAGGTGGTTGCCCTTGGTGTGGGCAGTCTATTGCCTGGGACACAGTCCATCAAATTTCTGGTATTCACCACTCCACTACCGAAACACTTTGCAGAAAGATTCTCCGCCATAGCAGGGGTATAGACGCGCAAAACACTTTAGGGGTTTACTGGAGTATATCCTTCACTAGGGTTAAACCAACGTTGCTTCGTGAATATCCTTGTGTTTGTAGACGCTGACTCCAGTCACCAAACCGTTGACTGCAAGCAACTCTGCAGTGGGGAATGAGCTTATATTTTTATATTTTCTCTGTGCTTTAAATTTTCGTCAGCGATCGGATTTGTTTTACGGCGTCCCATACTAGGACAAAACAGCTGTCCAGTGCCCACAGATTGACATCGCCTAGTTAAGTATTTCACTAGTTACTAGTCGTTCCTATACCCGGAAAAAGAGAGTACGTTGGGCATAGGGCTAGCAACTCTATCCCGTAAAACCAATCCAATGGCCGACGAAACCTCAAAGCACAGAGAAAATATAAAAGTACAAGCTTATTCCTCACTGGAGTCGGGGAGATGAAATTTTGCCGGT